TCAGCATGAGTTCAGTCCCTGCCCCAGAGGTGACCACATGGAGTGGCAGACCTCTCCTGACCCAGCCGCTGCTCCCCTCAGCAGTATACCTCATCCATCTGCCTGTCTGCTCCCCACTCTGTCTCTGGTGAATACTCTCACTGCCCCTGCTCTGGCCTGTACCCCAGTTCTATATGCACAAATAAATCTTTATTAAAAAAAAAAAAAAGCTTAGGTCAGTCAGCATGACAGATACAGGGAGTGAAAGCTGTGAACGCTGCTTGAAAGCAAACCTATCCACAGTCAATCTTCAGATGAAAACAATTTTAACACCTGATGATAACTCTGAAGGGTCATGAAGGAGAAGATACAACTGAGTCATTCCCAGAACTGTGAAGTAATAAATGTGTTTTAAGCCCTTAAATTTTTGCTATTATACGCAGCATAGATAGATAATACCAGTTTATGGGGAGATTTTATTTGGAGTTGCTTCTTAAGCCAAGTCTGACTTGTTGTCAGGAATAGTTACTCCTATTGTGATATGCTGTTAAAATGGCTTTTTTTCCCTCCTAGTCTATGGGGTTTAATTCCACACATCACAGAAACATAAACATAAATTAGGTGTCCACTAATTAGGAAGACCTGCCTTTATGTACTCGATCTCATTTCTTTATTTTTTCCCCACAAAATTATTTCCCCAAGACAGAATTTTCCACATTTTCATAATTATTTTGCTCATGAGAATAAATCAGATTTGTTACTTTAAAATTCTTTTAGCTACCCATTGCTATTATTGACTTTATGTATTTAAGATTTTAGTTTCAGTGATTATGTGCAAATAGGTTGAAGTATGTTAAAAGGTTTCTCCATCTAGACCTGTTAGGATATTAAAAGTAGTAGAGAATGATGATGCTCCCTGATTTTAATTCATAATTTGTGAATAAGAAATAACCTGGCCTCTAGCAAAATGTACAGAAGTCTGCTTAGGTATAATAATTTAAATTTACAATTTTTCCATAGAGCAGTTCTTAATTTGAGGTGATGTTCCAAATACAAGTCCAACATCACTTACCCGTAAATTCTTTATCTGCAATGTTCCTTGATCTTGTATTGTTGCTCTTGGATCTCTACCCAGAAAAGTAAATCCTTCCTTCAGCCAGCTAATTAAAGGAACAGGATCTCCAGTAGCTTTACACTTCAGTAATGCGGTACCATCTACTGCTAATGTTTGGTTGGCTGGGCCTTGTAGTATAATGGGTGGAGGTCTATCTGTCAAAACTAAAAGATAAAGGTGTTTTCAGGATACTCTGTCTTCTAAAAAATTCAGCAGTCTTGGTATCCAGATAGTGAAAGTCAGGTGGAAGCTCTAATATTCGGCATATTTTATATTCATTGTATATCTCCTATCTATCATTTATACATATTAGACATTACTACACAGCACACTGAAGTCACACTATTGTATAGAATCTACTTAGATATATAAATATCCCAATCTATAACTACCACATTGCTACTGGAATTCACAGGTTTTTTTGGAAAAATATTAACAGTGCAGTAGTGCCTACCATAAGAAATTCAACCAATTCTAATTTATAATGTAAGTTATGATATATAAGTTTCAGTATGTCAAGATAACCATGAACTTCCAACAATCTCATCCTAACATGGCAAATATGAATTAACAATTCACATATGTATGTATGTATGTATGTAGAAAAAGAAAAAAGTCAAATCTTGTTTGTGTGTTACATAAACACAGACTAACACCATCAATTTCATCAGTTTTCTTGATTCTATTCTTTATTTTAGTAGTCAAAAATCCTTCAGGTTAAAATACTGTATTAAACCAATTCTGACATAGCTGATAGTAGTTGTACAAATATATTCAAACTGAAAGTTTAATAGAATTAATTTTATTTATGAATAAAAAATGGGAGGTTAATTCATAGATCAGAATAATTTTTAAATTCAGTGAGTGAAAGAAGGGGATCTATACTACCAGAGGAGAGACTTTTATACACTTTAAATAATCTTAATTACTTATTTCAACTTAAATCTTTGAATTTCAGGTAATATCTGATAGCCTATTTTTATTTTTATATTCTTGAAATTGTTAGAGCTAGCTAATGGATATCTAATTAGTTTCTTTTTTTTTTTAACTGCCCAAATGAGTTGTTCATCTTCTTTTAAGTGGGTTTGATCAATAAAGTAATTGAAATACTTCAGGCCAGAAGGAAATTTCACTATCAAGGATGTTATGGGTGAAAGATGACCACAGCTTTTATGACAATGAGGTCAAAGGTTAAGTAAATATTTAGGATTTCCAGAGATCTGTGAAGAATTGCATGGTTTTCTCAAACTACACATTATAAATCTTTACTAACGATTTATGTAAGATCATGGTGTGACATTCATTGTCAACATAAGGTATGAATACACTTCTTCTTCCCAGTTCTTTTGGATTTTATTGTACTCATAGAATTCTCCTTAAAATTTTTTTTTTGGGGGGGAAAAGAGCAGAAGAAAAGAATAAATGAAGAACAATGCCAAAGAATTAATGAGAATCTCTTTAAGGGGTATTTTAAAATTCAAATATATTGTGGCATCTTAGCTCAATCTAACATCAGTAAAACTGTCGCTCAACAGCATCTGACAACCCCATTGCAATTTCTTCTTAAATAAACACACGTTAAAAAATATTTCCATAAATGATATCTAAATGCAAACAATGTAAAAACAGACATACTGCTATTGATATATTGTGTTGGTTTCTCTGAACATGACACATGCTTTCATTCTATAGGAATGGTATTTGTGACTAAATTATCCTTGATCACATTAGAAAAATGCTCAAATTAAAAATGATAGCTCACATAATATTAAATCATTAGCCAACCTGAGCATTTCTATGTTATGAATAAAAACTGAGTCATCAGTCTAGATGGTAAGTTAATACAGATACAGATTTTTTTTTTATAATAACCCTGTGTTTTTGTGTATAAGCTTGTATGTGTGTGTTTCAGTCTTAAAATCGGGTTACTTTATTTTCACAATCAATAAGTCTATAACTTTCATTCAATGTTTTTGTAAAGGATCTTGATTTAGTTATTGCTTACTTAAGTAAAAGATCAATGTAAGAATACTCAAGCCAGTTGTGACAAATATTCAAAGCCATCTCAGTGATGAGATTGGAACTTAACACTTTTTAAATTTTATCCTTAGAACTGAAGGTAGAATAATTTTGTGAGGCTATAACATCAACTAACATAAGTTGTTAACATTTGTATTACAACTGTTCTATGAACCACATCGGTATATCAACTGGCTTTTTTAATTATCAATTTTGTTTTCTGCAAAGATGGCTTGCTCTACCATCATAGTACTTCATTTAGAAATACCTTAAATCACGTATTTTTAAAACAATCGATAAGAGATTAGTAAAGATCATAGCGTCGTATTTAGACTGCATCTTAGTAGCATAAAAATAAAATGTAGACTTTGGCCCAAATGTCTTGTCTCCTAAGTACATTTCTGCTGATAGAGAAAATAAGGAATTTAAAACAATAAATAGCTATCTCGTAGTCTTTCAAAGAAACATGGAGGGACAATGATCTGACCTATCTGGAAGAAGAATTTGTTACTCTTCTCTTTCCAGTTCCCTAGCAGTAGGTTTCTGAGCACCAGAAGGTGTAGCTACAATGATTCAATGCATTCAGTTATTTGTCCTCTTCCTTTCCCTCACATGGCACTGAATCAGGCACTACCATGCACAGCCATTAAAAAATACTGCCTTTCAGGGCCCTCCCTGGTGGCGCAGCGGGTTAAAGCACTGCACTAAGAAACTAAAGTCACTTCCGCATGAGTTCGATTCCCGCCTGCCCCGGAGGCGACCACATGGAGAGGCAGACCTCTCCTGACCCGCCCGCTGCTCCCCTCAGCAGTGTATTTCATGGATCTGCCTGTTCTGCTCCCCGCTCTGTATCTGGTGAATCAGCTCACGCTCTGCATCTCTGGCCTGTACCCCAGTTCTGTACGAATAAATAAATAAATCTTTAAAAAAAATACTGCCTTTCAATTACTTTTAAATAATATATTTTTCATCTACATGAAAATTTGAATTGTGTAAAAGAGTGCACAATTTTACCAGTTACGATAGAGAGCAGAGGGTTTGACATCCAGGCTCAGAGGTTCACAAAATATCTAAAACTCCATACCTGTCAATTGTGATAAAGGAGCTCTTGGGATAAATCAGATTGTGAAGAGCTCTGCATCTTTCTCAACTTTCACTATGAATGTAGATGTCTCTGTTAAGATTTACAGTTTATATGTGAACACAAAAATAATTTTAGTATTCATCAATAGTTTGGAAAGTATTTAATTAACTCAGTGAATACACAACTAAAAAGTCATAGGATGTCAAAACATGATTAGCAAACTGAAAACTGAATTCTTTTTCTACTGACATTAAAGATGATATCTCTTTTTTTCTTTAGTAGAATATAACTAATAACCCTGACAAGCAATGTCAGCATGTAACTAAATAAAAATACACAAATCACATATACATATTATAGAATGTCTTTAAAATATCACATCACAGGCCCTCCCTAGTGGTGCAGCGGGTTAAAGCACAGCACTAAGAAGCTAAAGCCACTTCAGCATGAGTTCAATCCCCACCCTGGAGGTGATCCACATGGGACAGCAGACCTCTCCTCACCCGCCCACTGCTCCCCACAGACAGTCGGCCTGTTCTGCTCCCCATTGTGTATCCGGTGAATTCTCCCATCGTCCCCACACCTCTAGCCGATACCCCAGTTCTGAATGCATAAATAAATAATACACGTTTTTAAAAATATCACATCACTATATTTTTAAGAATAAAATAGATTATCTTCAATGTACTTCCTTGGGAAATGAATGTTATTAAACTGGAAGCATTAATAATTATTAAAACTACTATTTTACCTAGATTCAAACTTAGAAGGTAAGCATTAACTTAAGTGAATAACTAACAAATCAGAAAAGTCCACATTTAATTTAGCTCTCAAAGGAAAATCATTATTTTCATAAGACAAAGTTAATGAAAATATCGCACCATCAGTAACTTCAAGTTGAGCTTTTGCCAAAATGCTTCCTGCCACAGTCAGGGCCTGGCAGATATAGTACCCGGCGTCTGAACGCTGAATGTTGGTGATGGTGAGGTCGCCGGTGGGTGACACAGAACACCTACTATTGGGCTGCTGGGGTTGATTTGGAAAAAGCAGGTTCTGTGAAAGAAAATACAATGTCATCAACAGTCTTTTCCCATTCAGAAGAAAAACCACATTAACAATTGCTATAATAATTATGAGAATATGGTTGGAAAAGAAAACAGAGACTAAGTAAAATGAGTTGAAATGATTAAAAGCCACACAGGGAGTTTCACTGGAAAACATTTTCCAAATCATGCGAAAATAATACGTTCTAAGAAGTCAGCATATTCTTGTTGAAGGAAGCAATCATAATAAATCTGGAACTTTATCTTAACCGTATAAGAAATCTGGAACTTTATCTTAACCATTCACCCTCTTCTGGACTTTTGCTAGTTACTTAATGACTGAAACATTGTTTCCTCCTATATCAAATATGCATAATAGCACTAACCTGACATGGACCTTGTGAGAACTATCACAATTACTTGTGCGACTCTACAATGTAACACTAACTAGCCATGTATTTTATAAACAGCCCAATGCTAAGAATGCAAAAATATACATTGTGCTAACAATTTTGAATAGTAGGTGGATGTAAGTTCATTTCACCTAAAGGCATTTAGAAGTTTGAGGTTGAGAGATACAGTTTAATGTTCTGCTGTCAAAAGGCAGGTGCTAACAGCTTTGAAAGTAGCTATGAATTGTTGCAGTCCATGATTAAACAAATCAGTGAAAATAAAAAGAAGATGTAGAAGGTCTTAGAAGTGTGCACATGATGTTGAAAAATTTCATAATAATCTTTTTTTAAGAAAAACTATTTTATTTTTCTTATATTCATATTAAATACACATAGTCTAACCAGTTATTTTTTTTTTCAAGTTCCTATAGGAGAGTGGTAATATTAAGTAGGGTGACCTATGTTGCTTTACTGTTGTTCAATTAAGAAAAAACATTTAGGTATAATAAATCATATTGAGATATGTTTCTAAGTTAGGTTATAAATAAGGACATATCAATTTTTATGTTGTATTTACTTACAAAAAAGAACACTATAACCCTCTGGGATCTGTTTCTCAATATAGTAATTAATTTTCCAGGTTTGTAATTAAACAGTTTCAATACGTTACAATCAGGAGGTAATAACATTCAATTAAAGGCATACGACACATTTTCACCTTAAAATGTTTTTACCCTTGAAGTAATACCAATAGCAGAGGATAAAATAGGGTATTAACACTTTTCAATTACGCTAAATGACTTTAATCCTGCGAATGATGTCCTACTTTAATTAGAAGCTCTTCTCTTTATTGCAACATGATGGATGTCCACTTTATTAGATTCTAGTGTGACACTATAAGCCCACTTTACATAAACATTACCATGTTATTAAACCCTTTCTAAAAGAAGTGATGTTTGCTAGCATGTCAGGAATATAATTTCAAAATGCTATTGCTCTCTTATAAAATTTGTATTACTATAGAAGGCTAGACATTTTCATGCAGATGAAACATGATTTGGGAACAAGTTAATTCTCCAGTGAAATCCAAATATATTACTGAAATAAACCATCTAAAAGAGAAGGGTCTAAATTTTAAAGCCACTTGAAAATGATACAATAACTCAAACTATGCACTTTCCTACAATTATCCATTAGAATACTAATTTACATAGCACTAATACATCAGATGGGCTTAATTCTCTCTGGGATCTCTTTCTCTACAATGTACTATCAGTGCGCCTTCTAAAATGATGCGTTGACATGGAACATGCATAGGATTGAGGTTAACCCATCATCTTTATACCCTGCCTGTATGACACAAGCAAAAGAAAATGGATTACAAGTAAAACCCAGGAACTTTAGATAGCTCTTCTTGCCTTGAAGAGCCTAGGTAACCTATTAGTGCTAATTGGCATTCTCAGCACATATTGAGGAATATGGACCATTAAGTACAGGCTCTTAACTCTTTTTTGATGGACAGTCATAGATCACTGTAAAAACTGGTTACTCCAGACAGTGGGACAATTTACTTTTCCTAATATGCCAGTTCATGACTTTAAAATTTACAGTTTGCTCAAATACTTCTCTTTGAGTCTCATTTATGATCTCTCCTTCTCTCTTTCTTGGGAGGTAAATGAGGACAACCAGATCTAAGATTATAATCAAATCAAATTACCTATCAGTTGTATGTCACTATAATATTAAAATCTCTGGATTACATGCTATTTTGTCAAATAATTTTAAAATATTTAATGCTATTTCATCATTTCTTCTTTCATACTATTAAAACAAATTCTAGGATCTGTAAATACAGTATCTGTTCATCCATAGGATCAATGCACGTTTAATGCAATATTGTTTATCAACTTGGAATTATTTCAGAGCAGGCAATTCACATATGCTAGAACTTTGTTTAGATAAGAACAAGACAGTTTGTGATGGAAATTAACTTAATAAAGGATTTAAAGTACAAATTTACAATGGTCATTCTGTTTGACCTGCATAAACTAACCCAATCATGAATTTTCATAATATATGTGAAGCAAAAGTGTGCCCTTTTTAGATTAAGTAAATGAGCTTTAGTAAAGCTAAATAGCAGTACAAAGGTTACCCAAGTCGCAAGGAGGGAAATGGATTTCTGATTTTTCAGGGTGTTTTCAGTACATGTTTAACTAAGACTTATACTGTGTTAGGTTTACTTTAAAGTGCTGGGAAGTTTTCATTCAAAAGCAATTTTTAAGGGAGGAGTTAAGGAAGTATGTATATATTATTCTCTAGGAAATTCTTCCAAGATCTAGATAAACAACAGAATTAAGCTGAAGAGCACCAGCAATCGCCTTCTGTGAATTACATACTTTCTTGGGGATGGTCTGCTGGAGAGTCTAGAAAAGAAATTCCTTTAGTTTCCTCAGGAATGTATAGATACATTCTCAGACAAGAGTAAAATTTCTGATTTTGTTTGTGCTGTAAATTCAGCTCATTGCCTCAAAAACTAGAAGCTGTGCTTTTCCAAATTTGGACAAACTCTAAATGAGAAAAGTATGTAACCAATTAACTTTTAGTAAAGAGTCAAAAAGCTCATGTTGCAGAGAAGGTCCCGATAGGTCATACAGTGCACAGCAAAGACCAAACAGGGGTTGGTTGTTACACAAAGGGTTAGTTCCCATCTCTCCCCACTATGAAGGCATCCAGAAGGAGTAATGGAAGAAAATATTTCACTTACTTCTAAATAGAAGAAAAGCTCAAGTGTCTCACTGGTGGTGAGGTGTTTAAGTCTCAGCATTATTAGGCTATCTCCAGGCACTGAGGCATTAGTTCGCGTCCTGGCCAGGAAACTAACCGACATGGCAGATCTCTCCCCTCAGCAGTGTACTGCAGTAGATCTGCCTGTTCTGCTCCCCACTCTGTCTTTGGTGAATCTCTCACCTCCTCCCCCACACCTATGGCCTACAACATAGCTCTTATATGCATAAAGCAATAAAAACAAATCTTTAGAACAAACTTAGCATCCTAAATTGGCCAAAGCTCAATGAACGTAAACAAAGGCAAACCAATGAAATTAAATTAAAATAGAATTTTTTTTCTTATAAAAAGCTTAAATTAACGATAGGGTTATTTATATGATCTATTTATATATGCAACAGAAACTGATTTCTAGACCAATTTCTAGTGAAATACTTTTTGAGTGTTCTGTGTGTGTTTGGAAATATTTTACGCATTCCATATATATATATCAACTCACTTAATCTTCCAATGTACATTAAAGCAGAAAAGCAACATTTATTTTCTGTTCAGAGATTTTTTAAGAAGCTAAAGAAGATTTGGTTATACATTTAAAAATTTTGTCTTTATATTGCATCAGATCCATATTTAACATAAGTTAGAGAAATGTAGAAAACTAGTATTAGGCATAAAGAATGCTATATTAGAACTCCATGATAAAAGATTACATTGACCTGCTTATCAGACATAAAATGCATTCAAAATGTTTAACAAAAATGGCAAGATGAGTTTTAAGGTGCATCGAGACAGGAACAGTTAAGAGATTAAAAACAAAAAAAAAAGGCAGGACACACACTCACCTGGCTACCTTCTTTCTGCCAAAAAACAGCTGGCTGTGGGTTTCCTTTAGTTTCACAAGGAAATGTCACTGTTCGACCTTGAGCAACAATCTGATCTCTTGGCCTAACCACAAATTGTGGAGGAGCTATAATTTAAAAGGAGAGAAAGGATGTAAATATTACCCATTGACAAAGAAAACTGATACAAAAGCAAAAAAAAAAAAAAAAAGAAAGAAAGAAAGAAAAATGGTAGTGAATGGATTTCTTAGTACTAGACAAAGAGTTTTAAAATTTATTTTTAGGCATTTTTCAAAACACAACAGGAAAGGGAAAATAATACTCGATCAAATGTGAGGACAGAAATGAACCTATTATAAAAATATTTAATACGGTGTATACTGTCATTTCATAATCAATAGGGTTGCAAAGGAAAATAGGCTGTTAGTGATTTTATTATATGTTTTAGGAATAACATCATTTTCCAACTTGGTTTTGAGTCAACATAAATAAAAAAGAATAGCTCCTTTATGTAAACATCTGTTTCCTTTGACAAACATGACTGTTTTAAGAGGTACAGAAGGCATACAATAAAATTTGAATCCTTCTCTCAAAGGGTTTATAGTCTAGAATTTAATAGTTGAGTGGTGGAAGACAATGAATAATTGAAGAGAGGGTATTGCATAGAAATATAACTAACAATGTGACAAAATATATGGAAGTGGTTGATTCTGTTTAATTCACTTAGAAAAATAATCATTAGACATTTATCAGACTCTCCTAGAAGGTACTATAGATACTGAAACAAAAGTATCTATCTTTCAAACATCAGGATATCCAGTCTTGTGTGGAAAATACAAAACACAATGATGATGAAAACAACAGCAAGACTAAAACAACAATCTTCTAAGACTGGTAAGTTCAATGACAGAGGTGGTCTCAGATCACAGTGGTAGAATATTTAAACTGTAGCTTTTATCCTAAACGTGACTGACAGAAATTCAGCAGAGAGGGGTCACTTTGGGTAATGGTAACTGTGAAACATTTTATGTGACAGTAAGGCTTTGTGGAAAGGACAACAGTCAGTTAAGTGGAAATGAATATATTTCAAGCAAGTAGTTGAATGAGCATCACAGAAACAGCAAGAACACATCTAGAGTAAAGTGTACAATGTGGCAGATATGGAGAAGCCCAACTGTGTAATAACTGGAGGTTAAGTGGCATTACCAGGCTTTTGTCAGCTCTGTTGCCATCAGTCTCTGTGACTGCCACGTGTGGTAGTGTCTTACCTAGGGCTTGGGGCCTGGTCAAGGGGTGTGTGGGCCTATGATGATGGACTCCTAGGTCCAGGAGCCAGAGTGTGCTCATGAGTTAATGTGCACACCTGCTCCTGGAGACAAGGTGGTTAGAGGGCACATCATTCTGAGGCAGGACTGAGAGGATCACTCTGAGGAGACCACAGATGACACAAAACTAAGAACACCAGAGAGAGGTTAGAGAAAGTGTAAAGGTTCATGGGAGTCCTGGGAGGCTCAGTTTCCTGCCAGTTCCCCAGCCTCTCTGCCCAGCCTTGTTGCATGCCAGCCTCCCTGTCTGATGTGCCTGTTGTACCTGTTCCAATATTAAAGGTCTGTAAAACCCACTGTGGGATCCAAATTCTCTTTCTGTCTGCCCCAATCAACAGTGAGCTGTCCTACCCATGAACACTTGCTGACATTCTCTTGACTACAAAAGATAGATATGGACCCAGGTGAGAAAGTCCTGAAAAGCCAATGTTACGATTTTAATCTGATTTTTTTTTTCTAAACTGTGGAGTGAACGATATCAAGAAATATTCTGGAAGCTTCAACCTTCTAATGAAAGTAGTTTGCATGATTGGAAGGAGATGGAGGGCATCACTCAACAGTTAGTAAAGTAGAAGATATGGTTGGAAGACAAGCAAAATGACAGGTGAAAATACAAGACATAAGCTAAGTGATCCCAATGGAAAAGAAACTAAAGGGACAGGGATGAATATCCTCAGAAAGTTCATACTTAAACTGACACCCTACTATAAAAAGAAAGAAGAAAACAGAAGACTGTAGTTATGAAAGTTTTCACAAGGGCATTTTCATACCAAGGCCACTCCTGTTGAAGAAAAACAGCTTGTTTATTCCACGACATTTCTATTCATCTGTTTTTGCTTTAAATAATTGCTTATGCTAGAAAACTAAGGCCAAGAAAAAAACTTTATAATTAACTCTTGCTTTTTTTTTTGTTTGTTTGCTTGTTTGTTTAGAATCAGGTGTATATGGCATCAAGTCTAAAATCAGAAATCTAAAGAATTCAAATGATCAACCTACAGCAAAAGACTTTCTGAATTTTTTCAGTACTTCAGAAATACAGACAGGCAGAGTTAATAGTGGAGTAAACGTAGGGTTGTCTCAGACATTTAGCCAATTAGTCATCCTTATAAGAATGCCAGCATAGAAACAACAGCAGTTTTTTTTTTCTTCCTAATTCACTTAGATTTGTAATGCCTTTTTTTTTTTTTTGGCTGTTTATTATACTGACTCCTAGCTCTCAACACATCCTGAGGATAGATGGGATAAATCTACTAAGTGAAAATTTCTTCTATAACTATAGATAACAGAAGACTCAGTCTTAACAGAACAGAGAACCCAGATTTATGTATCTATTTGAACAGAAAGTGTTTTATGTTGCATTGCATTTTTAGATTACTTGCTTCTTGCAATCTTCTTGTGATTTCTACAGTTTCACTGAATCAGCAGATACATTGATTTTTGTTCCCTGTTTTCTAATAGGAATGATAGTCTAAATCAAAGTTACAAAATTACTTTAGGAACAACTCTTAAAACATCCTGCAGTGTCAGTTGTTCAGGAGAGAGGTGAAGACACCAGATATTTATATCATAAATAAAGCTTAAGCTCTGTCTCTTACATCTGAAAGTGTAGAAAAAACATAAATATGAAGAAGAGAGTAATGATACACATAGTTCATTATTTCTAAGAAAACATGTGAAATAAATGCCAATAAAGTAATGTGTTGAGTCTTTCACTGTATCTCATTAAAACCAATTTAGTGAAAATTAGTTTTTGATAAGAGCCACACATTCAGATCATTAATTCGTTTGTACTATTTTTAACCAGAAAGAATTTATATTCCATAATCAGTAAGAAAAAACTTAGAGCTCCATTATTTCTATGGAGTGCTTTTTTATGTAATTTTCATGTGTACCAATGGACAATATACTATTTAAAACATGAAATGAATTTATCAAATAACAGCAAGAAAACATTTTACAGTTTTAAACATATTATCTATCTATCTATCTATCTATCTATCTATCTATCTATCTATCTATCTATCTATCTATCTATCTGTCTATCTATCTACCTACCTATCATCTTCTATCTACCTACCTATCCACCCACCCATCCATCCATCTATCTCATTTCAATTACCATCTGTACTTTAAATGCAATTTCCCTGAACTTGATTTTTTGAGCTTCAGAAAACGTTTTTGTAAATCAGTGACTTGGAAAAATGTTTTCAGGATTCAGATCCTATAAATTTAACTCAGCTACTAAAATATATCCCCCAAATAAAGCTGGCAAATGACCACATCTACCCATCCACTCTTCTGAAAAGGTATGATGCCAGGTCAAACAAAAACTCATTCATGACCTATGGTGGTTACTTTCAAGAAATGCTTTAATGAAAATAAATATAGCACAGAATGATGTTTATAACAACACAAAAAATGCAGAGAGCATTAGGGTTGAGAAAGGTGTTGTGGGTAGAGAACACAGGGCAATTGGGATATAAGAAACATGCTGAGAGATGGTTATACTTGAGGTCTACATCAAAGCACAAGTAGATTAAGAGCAGTAAGATTATTATTATGACGTTGAGGTGATATAGGAAGGTAAATTCACTTATTCTGTTATAATATTAATTTTGCATTGAAAGCTATGAAGATCTTTCAAAACTGTCTAGGTCAAGAATAAATGCAAGATTTGCTTTATGGAATGAATGCTCTTACTAAATGAAAAAGGTCAGTGGAAATCAGGAAAATTTTAGCAGTAGGGGAAGATAATACAGTTGAGATTTGCTATGCAAAGTAACACCTAAAAAGATTATGTTATCAGAAATCTTAAAGGACAAATAAATTTTATAATATCATAATGTAAAATTAGCATTAATGATACTGATTAAAAATACCATAACCTTGAGTTTTTACCCAAGCTTTGTTTAAAGGCAAACTAACAAAATGCTATCAACATTTGTGTAATTCATGCTATGAACTATTCTTTTATGTGATGTTTATATTGGACCTTAACCATAGTTATAACTACCAGATATTTTCTTGTCACCAGAACCTTAGTCACTGATCTTATTGAAACTGGAATCACCCTATTCAATTTTTTTCAATTAAAAAAAGAAATAAGCTTTAAAGCACTTAACAAACCAAAAGATTTGAAGAGTATTCTAGTCTTAATATGTACATCCTTTCCTACTATCACTTGAAGTTGGATTACCAAGATGAATTACATCAATCACTTTTACTTCTGTAGACTCCTTCTCTGGCCAAGATCTATATTGCAATCTTCTCTGAAGGGGTAGCGGTTGAAAGAATTATTTTTAAGGTTTTCAAATAAAAAAACTGCATCAATAATTCTTCTGATAATACTTCACTGTTTCAGTTGTTCTGCCAGGTGGCAGTACAATGGTTTTAAGAGATGATACTTGGCTGATGGTGCTGATGGCACCAATGGGAAAAAGTAGGCAGGTAAGTGGCATTTCATCAACAGAGCACAGCAGCACAGGGTGTTATGTATAATATGGATCCCTATGATGTCTCTCATGAATTGCATAAAGGACACAATTAGATCCTTAAGATGACAATTCAAAATACTTATTTAAAGCCAATATGAATTAAGCACGTTGACTTATACATTCCAAAAGAACGTTACATATATTTATTGCCCTCATATATTTCTAAGCCAACATATTGTAAAATATATATTTATATTTTCCCTAGAACCTGAAAACATTAAACACATCTTTTGTTGTAACTCTGATGTTATAAATACTTGCTGAATCTGTTATGTGATTATATCTTACTTTTCAGCTATAACAAGAAAT